ACAGCTGAACTACCCACCCCTCCTCCCGTCCTCTCCCATCCTCCCTCTTTCCTCATTGCCTGCAGGGTTCGGCAAATAGTTGACCCGATGCTGTATGGCGACATGCATTTCTCAGCATCGAATCGAGCCTTGTTGCGCCATACGCATTGTCCCCACCTCCCCCCCTCTCTCCCTCCCTACTGCCTGCAGGGTTTGGAGGGTACTTTGATGCGGTGCTGTACGGTGACGTGCATCTCGGCATTGAACCCGCTACAGCCACTCCCTCCATGTTCAGCTGGTGAGCCTCTGCTACTTCCCTCTTTCTGTCTATGTCCCTGCCTCCTCTTTCCCTATGATTGCAGTACAGATTGAGTCAACGTCACCATGATTGCAGTACAATCTCAATTCCACCTTCTCCTTCCGTCCCCTCTGCCATTGCCTGCACGGCTTTGAGGCGCCTCAAAACTCTGCCATTGCCTGCACAGTTCCCTCATCTCTTCCTATCCCTTTCTTGGCTTATACTACTTCACTCTCCACCTGAGGCTGTTCTTTCCCCCCTCCGCGCTCCTGCCCTCAGCCTCCCCATATTCTTCCCTCTACTCTTCCCTGTGTACGCCCCCGGGGCTGAGAAGCTGGGAGTGCGCTTTTACTGCTCACTGACTGCTCTCTCCGTCCCGCTTCCCCATCCGTTCTTTTCCCCTCTCCTCTCCTTCCCCCCCTCTCTCTCCAGGTTCCCCATATTCTTCCCGCTACGCTTCCCTGTATACGTGCCAGGGGGGGAGAGGCTACAAGTGCACTTGTGTTGCTCACTGCTCTCCCCTTCCCCTTTTCCTTCCTCACCCGCACTCCATCCCCATCAACCCCACCTTTCCTCCCTCCGCCAGGTTCCCCATATTCTTCCCGCTACGCTTCCCTGTTTACGTGCCAGCGGGGGAGAAGCTAGAAGTGCACTTTTGGCGATGCGTTGGACCCACCAAGGTGTGTTCCTCCATCAGGTGTCGTTCGTAGGTTGGGCCCCCTGGTGTGATATCAATGACTTGTCCACTATCAGGTATTGTACACGTGTGGGTTGGTTCCGCTTAGGTGATTCTAATTTGGTTTCTCTCTCAGTTGATAATCATGTGCTGGTCCCGCATGATTTTATATCTTGGCATGTAAAGCCTGAAGCCATTAACGTACGCTCAACAATCCTCTCTGTTATTTCTTTCCCTCCCTTTTTCTCGCCCCCTCCATCTCCCTCCTCCCTCGCACCCTCCCTCTCTCTCTGTCCCCTGTATTGCTCTGTGTGCCGGGGGTTCTATCGCCTTGCCCCGTAATCCCGGAACAGGTGTGGTATGAATGGGCAGTCACCGCACCTTCCATGTCGCCCGTTCACAACCCTAACGGCCGCTCATACTGGGTCGGATTGTAGATCTGACCTCTTAATTTTGTTAGTGTCCCCGTTCTCTCATGGTTTGCTCTGAGGTGCTGACTCGTCATCAATGCTCTTTTAGGCATACCAGTAGCTGAGTTCATGTATCTGTCTAGTAGATTATGCTGTGCATTTTCCAAGGAGATTTTGATAATATCAAGTTATGCACTAGTCAATTACGAGAGAATGGTAGGCGTAGAAACCACTTCCTTTCTGGAAGTAAAAAACGGGGTAGATCGACACGAGAACACGAAGCCGTTTCCACGAGCGTTTGATTTCGCGACGCAACTGGCTGCCACACACCATTCGCGAAACCAATTTGCGGTTGTCGCTTTACCAGCGAGTGGTCGAAAATCTTGGCGCCAAGACCCCAACGGAAATCTGAAAGTTCAGAGTTCAAGAAATTGACTAGCCGCATCGCAAATGTGAACAAAGGCGTCTGAAATGTATCGCGACTCGCAAGTCGCGACCCGTCAATTGGGCCATTGGAGTGGCCAGAGCCTGCCCAAGGTCCAGCAGCAGATTTACTGTACATCTGTTTCAGTACTGTACCGTCAAGCAATATTACACGCAGGGGAGGAAAATTACACGGCCTGCTTGGGCTGTGAGGAGGAGCAAATGTTCCATCGCTACCAATCCAGTCCGTTGCAGTCCTGTTTCTTGAGTCAGGAAGTGGTGGGGAAAAGGTGTTCACGAATGCAACTGCGTGCGGAGCACAACCGTTTCTACTCCCTGCTTCTCCTTGTAACGGAGAGAGAGAAGCGGGGAGAGGCATCGTAACGTGAGTATCATGCTTGACGATCAGGCTATTGCACTCCGTGGCCTGCCAGAAGCTTTCAAACCTGGTGCATCGCATACCATCGCACCCAATGAGTCATTGCGCTGCGTACCATTGCGCTGCGTACCAAGGCGGTCCTTAGTACGCAACACGGGCCCAATGAGCTAGAAACTTGTGCTGCGCTGGCTTACCAGTGTTTCTTGTGAGGCGCACGCTCTTGTGAGGCACGGTTGGCCTTGTGAAATGGAGTTAACAACGCTTCATGGGCGCAATGTGAACAAGCAAGAACAAGTGCAAACCGTACCACATACCAACACCCACTTTATTAGGCAATCACAGCCCACCGGATACGAACTAATGTGTATCCAATATACAGCAGTAGCCGAAGAAATTATGTTGGCCACTCAAATCGTCACCTCCAGTGGCACATCACCGGGCCCCGCCCGTCTCATTCCCGCTTAGCATCATCAGTGAGTCTGATGCTTCTGATATCCAATCCTTACCGCCTTCACGATCGTTGCTTCTAGAAAAGAAGTGGCCATGAAACATGAAGTTAAGAAACCCATGTAGTACAAGTAACGTGAACGTAAGGCGGGGAATTCAAATCTTCGACTCAGAAGATGTTGCGCTTTCCCCCGGCCGCTTTTCATCGGACGAATCGTCCGCCACCACTTGAACGAACACCAAAGAGTTCAGATCCTCCGCCGAGCGCAAGTTCAGATCCTCCGCACCCCTTACTCTCCGCCGATGCGGGGGAAGCGCGCGCGGATCTTCCTTCGGTTTCCGCCTGGCTGCATCCAGCGCCTTCCGCACGGCCGCTCGGTGCAGGCGGACGAACGCGGGATGCGGACGAAGCATTCCCGCGTGGTGCGCCTTAATCACACAGTCACTCCCGTCATCCGCGCCGGTTTCCCCGCCTTTCTCGCCGCTACCGACGGCATCAGCAGTGGCAGCGGCGGCGGTGGCGGCGGCGGGTTCGGCGTTACTGGCGATGTTGCTCGTTATCATGTTCCCTGATCGATCCGCGCAGGGGACCACGTTATGCACGCGGATCCACGGTGCTTTAACCAAAATGCCATCTTGGCTTTTCTCGACGCGAACGGAATGGACGTGCTGGGTGATGAAGAGCAGGATCGCGATGATGAATCGTACGGCTGTTGCTGCAGGAGCGGTTGCGACGGGGTTACGGCCGAGACGTCGGTTACGGCGGTGAAACAATGTCAACATTATGTCGCGTCGAGCGGATCCCAGAGTCAAGCGCTTTTGCGAAAAGTAAATTATCGCTAAAGAAATGCGAACCGGATAACAACGCTGACTTTCTTGGAAGTGAGTCGATTTTTCAAAGTAAAAGCTCCTCTATTCTAACCTTTTGACTCCCGGTGATGATTAGACGAGTCGAGGAAGGGTTTAGGCTGTGAGTGACTTCTTGCCTGCGTCTTTCGCCACGGAAGACATTGTTTCAAAGAAGAATGACCACTGCTAAAAGAACGACACGTTCATATCAAGGCGGTGAGGTCTCGATCGGATGAACGGCAGCTGGCAAAAGGTCGTCAAAGACTAGCGTGATGCCACAAAACGTGAGGCCGGCAAAGCTTCTCCCTGCTCTAAACTGTCTGTCCACGATGCGACACACGCTTGCACGTTCTCTATGTTCTTTACATGCTCTATGTAAAGCTTGCACGTCTGCTCCTACGAGAGTAGTCTGCTCCTAAGAGTCGGGACGTCTCTTTCCATGTCTACGGAACGACCATCAACTTGACCACTTGACCCCATAACGTCTTCTAATCCGATTGACTACTCTTCACTCTCCCAGTGGCCGATTTGGGAGTGAACTGCCAGTGGTTGGACGGAAGGTACTGTGGGGGAAGGAACAGGTGTGTTGTGTTGGACACTTGATGGGCTTGCTTGATTGACGACGAACACGATCACGGCCGAGGGTGGGTCGCAATATTTCGTTTGACGTCGTTTGACACGGTCGATTGCGTTTACGAGCGGTTAAATATCTTCACCGCTCTAGACCATTGCGCACCAGCATGTACCTCTCAAAGTCAATCGAAAGAAACATGACCCGCTCTGAAGGAAACTGGAGAGTTATTTAATACCGAGTAGAACCCAGCTGAATCCTAACTAGTCCCGACTCGAGTCGCAGGTCCTGGATCAGGCCAGAATCAAAACTTGAAAGAGCACAGCAGAACTGAGGTCCCACACTTCTCCCCCGAACTACAAACTGTACTTTGGGGGAGTGTCAAACTTGTCGACACTGACAAGTGGACCAGCTTGTCTGACACCTTGTTGATCTTCGCGATGGAATTGGATAGTATATGAAACCATGTGTCGCGTGATGATTGGTGAAGGCATGAAATAAGGTCCTCTGAGCAGGGAAACTGGGGTGAAACTACTTGTTATAAGACGTCAGCGATAATGATGATGTATTAACATCCAGTCAGTTTTCAGCAGAAAAGCTCACACTAGGGGGTTTTTTGCGTCACAACTAAGCAACATAGTTACATAGTAGCTAGATCAAATTTTGTACCTCAAATACTTTGCAAGCCCAGTTCTCTGGAGTAATTTCCCAGCAAAGGATCAGCGTGCCGCTTCTAATTTCACTGACACTCTCGTGACACAATACGGGCTATAGCAGAAATGATTCCCATCGTTTCTCGTCTTTTGTGATGCGAGGTTTTTGTTTGCGCAGTCGGATTGCACTGTACCCCAACTATTTTCCCTGACTGCGTTGAATCGACTCAGATGCGCCATCCTCACTTTCATCACCACCTGCCCGCTCTTCTCTTCGTCCTCATCCTTTTGTTTGCCATGTTTTTGTGATACCAACTATTTCTGCTGATTGCGTTGAATCGACTCGAGCAGATGCTCCATCCTCACTTTCATCACCACCTGCCCGCTCTTTGTCCTCTTCCTCATCTGCCCTCTCAACTCCCTCCTCCTCCTCTCCACCTCCTCCCTCTTCCTCCTCCCCTCCTCCATCTCCCTCCACTTCGCCTCCCTCTCTGCCGCCTGCCTTGCAGCCTCCTCCTCTCGCTTCTTCCATATCCTTTCCAGCCGATTCAACGGCCTCTGCCGCACACCCTCTCCTCCTCTTCTCCCACCCTCAACACCCCTCACACTTCCACCTGCCACCGCTCTCTCTCCTCCTCTCCCGCCTCCCAGTCCCCGGCCTCGTCCCCTGCCTTTGCCCACACCGCCCCTCTCCCACTCCTGTGCGGCCTCCTCCCGTTTTGATCCCATTCCCAAGCCACAAACCACTTGGTCCTCTAGCCCTGCTTCTTCCTCCTCCTCTTCATCACTAGAAACGTCATCCTGACTTCCTTCCTCTTCCTCCTCATTCTCCTCTTCCCTATCCTCCCCCACTACTTCCTCTTCCTCCTCTTCATCTCCCTCCTCTTCCCCTTCCCCCTCTTCTTCCTCCTCTTCTGTCCTCCCATCACCCCCCACCAATCCACTCATCCGGTCGGTCCCTGTCGCCTTCCTCTCCCGACCAATCATCTTTCGGTATTTCTGCACAGTTCTCGCATCGTTGAGGACCTTACGTCGTTTACCTGCCAGCAAGAGCGAAAAAGCGCAGGGTTTCGGGTGTTCGCAGCATTTATCGATAAAAAACCCTTCGACATTTTTTCACACCGACAAGGGCGAATAGGGTACAAGGTTCAGGTCTTTTGAGTTAAAAGTCCGTGCACGCTTTTTGAGACATCTCAACAGCCAACCAGGGAGGACAGGGTACAGGGTTTTTGGGTTAAGAGTCTGTGCTCACTAATGAATGCAAAAATGGTTGAAACAAAGGATAGGAGGCGCAACACATTGTTATCTTGTTGAATGCTTCGTGACAGTCAAAATAAGTACTTGAAACAGCAATTTCAGGTCGACCAAGCCGTGTGCGTCAACCAGAATAGTGAAGGGGTTGCGGGAGAAGGGGACAGGGGATGCGGGGGATGGGACAGGGAAGTGGGGGAAGAGGACAGGGAAGTAGGGGAACGGGACAGGGATGCGGGGAAAGGGGACAGGAAAATGGGGGAAGGGGACAAGGGATGCGGGGGAAGGGAGAAGAAGCGGAGGAGAGGACCGGGAAGGAGGGAAGGGCGGCGGGGGAATGCAACGCACGGAGCTCATTGGCGGAAAGATGCGTCCGCTGCGGCGCCATGTACCTCTTCCGCCCGCGGAACCCCTTCCGCACTCCCCCGTCCGCGCGCGGAACATACTTCTCCAACACGCCTAGCCGCAACACTCCGCCGCCTCCCCTTCCCCTTCCGCCTCCTCTCCTTCCGCTCCCCCCCCTTCCGCTTCCGCCTCCCCTTCCGCCCCGCGCGGCTGAAGCCGGGGGAAGAGGCTTCTTCATGCTTGCGCCGACGGGGGATTGCCAAAGCGAACGATTCAACGTCGCTGTTCCGCCGCTATTCTTCAAAAATTCCAAACTCCTAAGTGTGTGGGGTATCACGCCCTTGCGACAGCAGATGTAAAGTCCCTGAAGTTGCTTAGATTGTTTTCTGGAGCCTGAGATATATCTCGCACGCCTACAACTTTAATTGTATTTTCGCTTTGCGTCTATTCGAAAGTCGTAGCTCACGACGTTCTTGCGGCATCTAACGGTACACAAAGCAACCGTAATTGTCCAAAAGGGAACGAGCGCGAGCTTCGGTAATCGCGGTTTTGCCGCTGCAGATTCTGTTCAGTGTCGGCTTCTGCTCCTGAAGAAATTACCAACCGACGGACACAATACCAGCCGTTTTGATTGCCGTTTTTGGACAGCAGAAGGACTGGAATGAATTCTCATGGTTTCGGGGTTAGGTTTCGCGAAATGGGAGGTTGAGGGTTTTCGCAAAACGAGAAGCTGGAACTGAGATCGTCGTTACAGATATTTCGCGAGACCAGATCCATTAAAACATCACATTGCCAACCAAGTACACGGTACTATTCAAAACATAGAAAAGCAGGTGATCGAATATGGAAGTCAAACAAGAAACTAGACAAGTCACGTCAGCAGCACAGCCAACCCCGTCTAGCACACCACACACCAAGTTCTACGAGCCTCAAAAATACCACCCACCAACCAGAGCCATAAGCACTGGAAACTCCTGGCCTGTTCCTCCTGACAAGCACTGAAGCAAGTTCACTGCCCTCTTGATGGCAACACAGCTAAAACAGCGCAACAGGCAGTGGCCGTGACGGCAACGGCTGTGGTGAGTGCCAGCACAGTAGCTGCCTCCCCCAGGCCCCCCCTTTACTAACCTAACCAGCCCCCAATGGCACAGCTAGCAGTTGGGGCACAGGGGTGGCTGTAAGGCAGCAGCAGTTGCCACACTACCAGGTCATCGCTGCACTAGCAACTCCCCACTGGCACGGCTAGTAGTTGGGAGGCGGGGGCGGCTGCCAGGCAGGAGCAGGGCTCCCCACAAAACTTTTTCAAGGCGCCTCAAATACAGCCACATGACATCGACTCCCCCAACAGCACACAGCTAGTAGTTGGGAGGCAGGGATGGCTGGCAGCAGCAGCAGCAGCAGCAGCAGCTTCCACACTGTCAGGCCCCTCGCTCCGCCCAGCACAGCATGGCTAGTAGTTGGGGGGTGGGGGTGGCTGCCAGGCAGGAGCAGGGCGGGGGAGGAGCCCAGGCGAGTACGGCAGAGGAGCGGGGGCTGCACAGGCAAGCAGAGCGGGGCAGGCCAGGGCAGGGCAGAGTGAGCACAAGGACACAGAGAGGGGCACGTGATGAGGGAGGTTATGTAGGGAGGTTATGCAGGGAGGTTATGTAGGGACTGATGTGGGACAGAGGAGCAGCCGCAGTGCCAGCAGCAGCAGAGCGCGGCAGGAGCCCAGGTAGAGAAGAAGGGGGTCCCGCGACCCTGGGACAGCGTGGGCAACACACGGGCACAGAGGGATGTGTGATGAAGGGAGAGTCTCATCTTATTGGCGTTCTTACGATTAATCCATAAATTAGGGTTGCTTTTAATCTATAAAGCCCTTAGGCTGTGATGAAGGGAGGGTGACGAGGGGAGGGTGATGAGGGGAGGGTGATGAGGGGAGGGTGATGAGGGGAGGGTGATGGGACAGATGTGAATCAACGGACCATCGGCAGTGCAATCCACGGTGCTGGCAGCAGTGGCAGCAGAAGCAGCAGTGGCAGCAGAAGCAGCAGCTACGTCACACTAAAGGGCACATAAAGGAGATGAAGCAGCAGCAGCAACAATAGAAGCAGAAGAAGCAACTGTCTCACCTCCAGCAGGAGTGGGAGCAGGAGCAGCAGGTATGGGCGCAGTGACCCAGTCCGGCATTCCTCCCCCCACCAATGGGATCACATGTACCAATAATACCTTCAGCAGCAGCAGCAGGAGCAGTAGCAACTGCCTCGCCTCCGCCAGGAGCAGGAGCAGCAGGAACGAGCAACCTCACCTCCAGCAGGAACGAGCAATCTCACCTCCAGCTGGAACGAGCAATCTCACCTCCAGCAGGAGCGAGCCATCTCACCTCCAGCAGGAACGAGCAATCTCACCTCCAGCAGGAACGAGCAATCTCACCTCCAGCAGGAACGAGCAATCTCACCTCCAGCAGGAGTGGGAGCAGGAGCAGCAGGTATGGGCGCAGTCACCCAATCCGGCATCCCTCCTCCCGCCTCCAGCGCTGCAGCAATGGGGTCATACGCACCATCCCCCGCTCCTCCCCCTGCTCCTCCCCCTGCTCCTCCCCCTGCTCCTCCCCCTCCACCCGTTGCTCCTCCCCCCATGCTCGCAGCAGCTGCGAAGGGATCATACGAGGATGGGGGCGCAGAAGAGGCGGTGAGAGGAGCGGCAGAGGAAGGGGCGACCGGGGGAGCAGAGGAGGGGGCAAGCGAGTAGGGGTTGTAGGGCGAGGAGAGGGGGGGAGGAGCGGCAGGGGAGGAGGAAGGAGCGGTGGTGGGAGGCATAGGAGCAGGAGGAGAAGGGCCAGCACCAGCAGCAGCACCAGCCCCAACACTTGCACCAGCAGGAGCAGCATTAACAGCAGGGCCAGCAGGGGCAGTGGCACCACCAGCAGCTGAATACGGGTCGTATGGCGGAGGCTGGTAACCCATGTAACCGGTAGATGGGGGGTAATTCGGTGCAGGTGAGTAGGTAGGCGCCGCAGAGGGATAAGCCGGCGCAGCAGCAGGAGCAGTGGCAGGAGGGGCATACTGGCCCTGCGCTTGCTGCTGCTGCTGCGGCGGCGGGTTGTACGGCTGTTGCTGCTGCCCATAAGCTGGCGGCGGCTGCTGCTGCTGCTGCTCCTGCCCATATGGTGCTCCATACGGGCCTGGCTGTGGAGGGGGGTACTGGCCATAAGGGGGCGGCTGGCCATAGGGAGGCGGCTGCTGTTGCCCATACGCCTGACTGTATCCCCCATACCCCTCCGGGGGAGCCCCAGAGTACCCCTGGGGAGGAGCAGGGCCACCACCGTCTCCCCCTCCTGCCCCTCCTTCCGGCCCACGCCCGTCCTTCTCGTCCCTCCTCCTGTGCTCCCTGTCGCGTTCACGCTCCCTCTCCCGGTCTCGATCCCTATCCCTGTCTCTGTCCCTGTCTCTGTCTCTGTCGTCGCGCCTATCTCGGTAATCCCGGTCGTCCCTGCGGTCCCGATCGCGCCTGTCCCTGTCCCTCTCTCGCTCCCTCTCCCGCTCTCGATCCCTGTGCCTATCCCGCTCCCTCTCCCTCTCCCTATCCTTGCTCCGATCCTTCTCCTTCTCCTTCTCCCTCTCCCGCTCCTTCTCCCGCTCCTTCTCCCGCTCCTTCTGCCTCTCCTCCCGCTCCTTATCCCTCTCCTTGCTCTCCTTACTCATAGCAGCAGCAGCAAGCCTGGCTTGAGCCGCCTTAGCAGCAGCAGCAGCCAGTGCAGAAGCAGTAGACGACTTACCACTCCCACCTCCCTTCCCCTCCTCCTCACCATCCTTCCCCTCCTCCTTCACACCCCCCTCAGCTTTCTTCTGCCCGTCTTCCTGCCCGTCCGTCTGCCCGCCCGCTACCTGCCCCGCCTCACCTTCTTTTGCCACCTGAGACGCGAGGGCGGCAGACGGCACATACGTCCGAATCTTGCCCTCCATAGCAGCACCACCAGAAGCAGCAGCAGCACTCTCCCCACCAGCACCACCAGCAGCACTGGCAGCAGCAGCAGCGGCAGCAGCGGCGGCAGCAGCGGCTTCTTTTTCCTTCTCCTGCTGCTTCTTCCTAGCAGCCTCCCTCTCCTTCTCCGCCTGGAACGCAGAGGCAGCAGCTGCAGCCACGGATTCAGCAAACGATTTCTTCCTCTTCTCCCCCTGCTGCTCCTCTTTCACCCCCTTCGCCTGCCCCTCCTTCCCCACTGCCTCGGCCGTCCCCTCGTTTTTTGGCTCACTCCCCAACGCATCACCATCACCAGCAGCAGCAGCAGCACCGGCTGCAGCGGCAGCGTCGCGTTTAGTCGCGGCAGTGGCAGCAGCGACAGCCATGGCGGCAGGGGCGCTACCGGCCGCCTCCAGCTCCTCAGCCGAGCACTGCTTGTACTCCCCGGTGGTAACATCGTAACGGAACCACTGGCGTGAGTCCGAGTGGTAATACAGGTCTGAGATGGGTTGGAGGGCGGTGTGGGGGGGAAGGGGGGCAGGGGAGGAGGAAGAGGGAGGGGAGGAAGGGAGGGGAGGGGTAAACGAGGGGGTAAGGGCAAATGGAGTATCTTGGTGCGCCGAGCCCTTCAGCCGAGCACTGCTTGTACTCCCCGGTAGTAACATTGTAACGGAACCACTGGCGCGAGTCCGAGTGGTAGTAGAGGTCTGGTATGGGGGATGGAGGAAGGGTGGGGGGGAAAGAGGCAAAGAGGGTAACAGGTTCAAAGCTATTGGCTACTAGTTACTCTGCCACCCAAAGCACTAGAAGCGCTTAGGCACATACATGGACCCCATACATGAACCGCACCTGAGGCGCACATACATGGACCCCATACATGAACCGCACCTGAGGCGCACATACATGGAACCCATACATGAACCACACCTGAGGCGCACATACATGGACCCCATACATGAACCGCACCTGAGGCGCACATACATGGACCCCATACATGAACCGCACCTGAGGCGCACATACATGGACCCCATACATGAACCGCACCTGAGGCGCACATACATGGTCCCCATACATGAACCGCACCTGAGGCGCTGTCGTAATAGAACCTGGTGGTGCTGTCGTGGTAATACCCCGACGCCTCATCCCACATGAAGCACATGGCTTATGGCGGCAGGCACACACGCTCCACTCTACAAATCCCACCTGAGGCAATGGCATGCGACTGTACCAATCCGCACCTGAGGCGCTGTCATAATAGAAGCTGGTGGTGCTGTCGTAGTAATACCCCGACGCCTCGTCCCATACAAAGCCACTGCCCGCCTGCGCCTGCTGCTCGCCCCCCGCTGCCCCCTCGTCGTACTCCTTGGGCATCCACCCAGCCGCCTCCATCTGTGGAATGGAAACGAGAGGAGGGTAAAGCAGGAGGGTAAAGCAGGAGGGTAAAGCACAGACGATGATCAAGGGCGTGAGTGTTGCTGCTGCCCCCTCGTCGTACTCCTTGGGCATCCACCCAGACGCCTCCATCTGTGAAGGAAGGGGCAATGAAGGGGCCGTGAACAAAGATGTGAGGGGTGTGAAGCTTGTGAGTGCACCTGCTGCTCGCTCCCTGCTGCCCCCTCGTCGTACTCCTTGGGCATCCACCCAGACCTTTGGACCCAAACCAGACCCAAACCCGACCCAAACCAGACCCAAACCCGACCCAAACCAGACCCAAACCAGACCCAAACCCGACCCAAACCCGACCCAAACCAGACCCAAACCCGACCCAAACCCGACCCAAACCAGACCCAAGTCAACACACCTGCGCCATGACGTCAGTATCCTCAGCAGCGCCACCGCCAGCGGCAGCGGCATAGGCAGCGGTGGCAGCATCAGCAAGGGGCGTGGAGGGCACTCCGTGGTTGGGGCCGCGTGCATCATCGACCCTCCCTTTGAAACAAACCCCACACTCTTGGCCTTTGGACCCAAACCAGACTCAAACCCGACCCAAACCAGACCCAAACCAGACCCAAGTCAACACACCTGCGCCATGACGTCAGTATCCTCAGCAGCGACACCGCCAGCGGCAGCGGCATAGGCAGCGGTGGCAGCATCAGCAAGGGGCGTGGAGGGCACCCCGTGGTTGGGGCCGCGTGCATACGCCACTCGCATCACCAGTCCTCCCTTGATAACAAACTCCCACACTCTCTGACCCAAACCAGAACCAAACCAGACCCATATCAGACCCAAATCAGCCTCAAACGAGACCTAAGTCAACACACCTGAGCCATGACATCAGTATCCTCAGCAGCACCGCCACCAGCAGCCGCGGCGTAGGCAGCAGTGGCAGCATCAGCGAGGGGCGTGGAGGGCACCCCGTGGTTGGGGCCGCGTGCATACGCCACTCGCATCACCGGCCCTCCCTTAAAGAGGCGCTTGTTGTGACATGTGAGCATGGCACGCGTGGCTTGATCGACCTGTGGGAAATACAAGGAGGCAGGAAGGGCACGCAACGCAAGGCACGGAAGGCGGTTAGGAGGGAGAGGGGATGGGAGGGGAACGAGGTGAGAGGCATAACCCACTCGCATGACTGGCCCTCCTTTGAAGAGTCGCTTGTTGTGACATGTGAGCATGGCACGCGTTGCTTGATCCACATGTGGGAAAGAAATAGGGAAGGATGAAGGAGGGAAAGGGGGGGAAGAGAATGAGGTGAGGGGCATACGCCACCCGCATCACCGGGCCTCCTTTGAAGAGGCGCTTGTTGTGACACGTGAGCATGGCGCGCGTGGCTTGATCCACCTGGTGGGAGGAAGGGAGGAGGAAGAGGAGGCCAAGGGAAGGACGGGGGAGACGAGAGGGACGGACAAGGGAGAAAGGAAGGGAAGAGAGGGAGAACGGGCATGTAAGGCAAGGCACAAGAAGGGGTAAGAGGGAGAGGGAATGGTAGGAGAATGAGGTGAGGTGCAGGGCATACGCCACTCACACGACTGGCCCTCGCTTGAAGAGTCGCTTGTTGTGGCATGTGGGCATGGCACGCGTGGCTTGATCCACTTGGGAGGAGGGAATGGAAGGCAAGGAAGACGAGATAGGCACAGCATGCAAAAGCAATGAGGAGGGCGGAGGGCGAGGAATGGAACAAGAGAGGCGGGAAGAAGGGAGCAATGGGAGAGTGGGGGGGAGGCGGGAGATGGGTAACCAGAGGCGGGAGATGGGTAACCAGAGGCGGGAGATGGGTAACCAGAGGCGGGAGATGGGTAACCAGAGGCGGGAGATGGGTAACCAGAGGCGGGAGATGGGTAACCAGAGGCGGGAGATGGGTAACCAGAGGCGGGAGATGGGTAACCAGAGGCGGGAGATGGGTAACCAGAGGCGGGAGATGGGTAACCAGAGGCGGGAGATGGGTAACCAGAGGCGGGAGATGGGTAACCAGAGGCGGGAGATGGGTAACCAGAGGCGGGAGATGGGTAACCAGAGGCGGGAGATGGGTAACCAGAGGCGGGAGATGGGTAACCAGAGGCGGGAGATGGGTAACCAGAGGCGGGAGATGGGTAACCAGAGGCGCACCCTCTTTCCACCTCCCAAGGAGCGTCAGACTCCTGGCGTATGAAGATTTGTTTTGAGACGTCTCAAAACCAATCTTCATACACGTGGACACCAGAGCCGCAACCTCTTTCCAACTCCCAAGGAGCATCAGACTCCTGGCGTCAGGAGCCGAAAAGAGGTTCCGGTTCCCAAGGAATTGTCAGGGGGGGGGATGAAGCGTCATGAGCTGAGTGCTGGGACACAATCATACCCAGCACAAGAAAAATCCCAGAAACTCACATTGGCGAGGGTGACAAAGGCGAATCCGCGTGACTTGAGAGTTATCTTATCACGCATCATGCGCACATCCTGGTGCGACGCGCGGGGTGGCACAGAGAGGGGAGGCGGGGGGCGCACAGAGGGAAGGGGGGGGCGCACAGAGGGAAGGGGGGGGCGCACAGAGGGAAGGGGGGGGCGCACAGAGGGAAGGGGGGGGCGCACAGAGGGAAGGGGGGGGCGCACAGAGGGAAGGGGGCCAGATGGAAGGTTCGGTGAGTTTAAAGGTGTATTGATTCGAGTGTGATCTTATCGCGCACCATATGCACGTCTTGGTGAGTGGCGAGGGGAGAGACGCAGGGTAAGAGAGGTGGGCAGAGAGAGAGAAGGGGGGCCCAGGGGAGAGGGGGGAGGGGGGGTAAGGGAAGGGAGGGGGGGGGGGGGGGGGTGGGGGGGTTTACAGATAGAGAGGGGCAGAGAGAGCAAGAGGTTAGAAAGAATAGCGAGGGGCAGATGGAACAAACGTTTGAATTTCAAGACGTCTCAAAACTCGCGCAGTCAATACAATATGACATTTCCATGGAAGTACTTCAACTATGAGAATTTACTTCGAATACGACCAAGCCAGACTTGATTGCACAGAGCAAGTATTTCTCAAATGTAACCACCCTTGAGACCTCGCACATTCCACATCCGTGTGCTATGTCCCACCCAGCCAGCTTTCTCTAGCTAAATCATGGTTCTCAATACAGTGCCCACCGCTTACAGTCACAAAGGCAATTTACAGTCACTGAGCCATGCTGGGAGAACTCCTGCCTCAGGCTCTCCTCATGCACGCTGTCGTCCAGTTCAGACCCCTCAAGGTGACTTTTGAGTCCACTCAAAAGACACTCAAGCCACTTACACTCCACACTGACTCCACTCTACAGCCGCTTTTAGTCACTGTTCCCACTTACAGTCACGGAGCCATGCTGGGAGAACTCCTGCCTCAGGCTCTCCTCATGCACGCTGTCGTCCAGACCCCTCACTATAAGCACGTTCGACGCATCTGGACCCATGGCCACAGCAACCGCCGCCGCCCTCCCGCCTCCTCGGCCCTCCCACTCGCCGCCTCCTCTGCCTCGCGCCCCATATTCGCCTCCTCCCGCGTCGACCCTGTCAGCAACAGTGACGGGATTGGCGGGCCTGCGGGTGACACACTGCTCACGGGAAAGGAAAGGGGCGAGTACGCAGCACAAGGCGGAAAAAGGAGGTTGGGTGGAAACCATGTGATGCCATACGTTGAGTAAGATAAGAACCACGTAAGATGGTTCCCTCTCGTGCCCCCACAACTTTTCCTGCCCTGAAGGGGCTTTTAACAAGGCGATTCTACAGCTGGGCAAAAAGCACCCACCTTGAAGCACTCGGAGCGGCGGGCGAAGTTATTGACACTGCAGGAGGGGCAGACCTAGTTGAGGGGCATCTGAAAGGGGCTTTTAGAAGGGGGGGGAGGGGGTGCCTAAATACGGACAAGACAAGAACACAGCTCACCTTGAAGCACTCGGAGCGGCGGGCGAAGTTATTGACACCGCAGGAGGGGCATACCCAGTCGAGCGGCTTCCCCGAGCTGCTGTCCGCAAGCGCGCCCCCGTCCTCCGCCCCTTGCAGCGGCTTGCTGTAGGGGGTTGAAAGAGAGCAGGGAAGAGGAGGGAGGAGAGGGACGACGACGGGAGAGGCGAGGGGAGAAGGGAACAGAGAGGCGAAGAGGGAGAGGGAGAGGAAGGAGTGGAAGAGACGAGGGGCGCGGGAGGGCGGAGGAGGCACAGGGGGAGGCGGAGAGATGCAGGGGAAAGGGGGAGGGGGGGAGGACGTGGAGGCGCGAAAGGAGAGGAATAATGAGACGCGTGTGCAATGTTAAGTCCTGAGCGCAGCAGAGCAGGAGACGAATGGCAGCAATGGCTGGGGCGAGCACTAGGCAGGTGGGACAATCTGAGAGGGTGATACGCGGGAGTAAGTTTGGAAGGGGTTAAAGGAGAAACCGTTTGCTCCAACAACTGAGCCAAGCCTCAGAACCCAGCCTCTCTTGCACAAGTCGCATGACGCCCCTCCAAAAACCTCCTCAATAGTTTCCCAAGCCTCCATGGAGCGTAAGTCTCTTTTGTCTCCTGACTTGTATTGTATTTCTCACACCGATTGCACCCAAAAGAAAAGAGTCACGTGTATTGGAAACACCAGCGAATCTCCACATTCGAACGAGCCGCCAGCTCTCCATCCGCACTTCCTCCTGTTGCGACAACGCCCCGCGCCCGCGTCACAGCCTTGGCACGAGGCAGTGCGAAACCAAGAGCTGTGAGAGCAATGACTACGCAACTAACACGTGTGAGTGAGCAGTCCGATTTGCTCACAACAACCCAGCCCAGCCAGACCCGTGTCAGAGTGCTAATTAAAGTCCTTAATCTCCACCTGTAGTGGAACAAGAGCAAGCGGTCATCCATCTTTAGCTCCTTCGCCCTTCCACCCTCCACCAGCGCCTTTGCCGCCTCCTGGAAAGAGGAGAGGCGTTACGGTATGGGACGGGACAGGGGCGAGAGGGGGAGGGGGCAAGAGGGGGAGGGGGCAAGAGGGGGAGGGGGCGGGAGGGAAGGGGAGGAAAAAAAAGGACGGAGGGGATAAGAAAGGATAACCGGGAAGGGGGGTGACAAAGAACGGTCGCACTTGAACAACGAGAGGGGGAGCAAGGTTGGGGTGGAGAGTGATGAGAAAGAAGAGGTGAGGTTGGGGTGCCGCGAAACACGGGTGGAGAAAGGAGGGAACGCAAGTGAGACCGCGGAAGTGTCATGGCCAAGGGGAATAGCGGGGAGAGGGCAGCGGCGTGCGGGAACGCAGGGACGGAAGGAGAGGGAGGGAGGGAGAAAAAGGGAGGGAGGGAGGGAGGAAGGACGTGAAAGGAGCAAAAGTGAGGAGAACGGGTTGAATCAAGGTAATAAGGGGCACGTGAGGAGAATACGGCAAGAGCAAGCAGGAACCGCACGGAACCGCACTGATGACCAGCAAGCCTTGCTTTGCTTCTGGAATCGGGAAGGGAGAGAGTGAAAACTTCGCTAAGCCACTCCTGCTTTCGTGAATGAGAAAAGGGTTTCGAGCACGCCAAAACCTGAGCGAACTGTCATGAGAACGAGCTGGAACAAGCATGCGTGGGTGGAATAGTGGCGAAACGAATGATGCGTTGCGTCTACAGCAACAAGCAAGCACGAGAGGCAAGGAAGCCGCGGAGACGCACCACGGTCTCGAGGTCAACGAAACAGAAGCCCTTGTTGAACCCCGTTGCGCGCTCCTTGATCACCCGCACCTCCTTCAACGGCCCCCACTCGCCCTGCCATGGAAACACGGAACAGACACAGGCGATGCAACAAACACACGTGTTGATCAGCACAAGCCCTTCTTAGATCCCGGCGCGCTCCTTGATCACCCGCACCTCCTTCCACGGCCCCCACTCGCCCTGCCATCGCAACTAAGTACAAACACAGGCGGGAGATGCTCCAGCTTGCGAGCAAGAACTACATACTTCCAAACAAACAGAGCGAGTGGTTCAATCAATTTCGCAGATGCAAACGCCGAGTCCAAAACAGGCGAACCCGGCAGCGGATGATTTTTTTGACGCCTCAAAAGCAGGTCTTACCAGCAGCGCGAAGATATCCGCCTCCACAGCCCACGGCGCAATCCCGCGAATGAGCACCGTGCTCGTCGGCTGCTCCGGACTGCTCTCCCTCCCGCGCCCGCGCCACCCGCCGAACCTCCCCCGCCCGTACGGCGACCGCGAGCGCGACGCCGATCTCCCCCGCCTGCGTCGCACGGGCGACCGCGACCGCGATCGCGACCGTCGCCTGCGAATCCTGGGCGACGGGCTCCTGCGCGTGGGCGACGCGGACCCAGGCTTCCTCTCCCGGACCGGGGACCTGGATCGGCGGCGGGGAGGGGAGCGGGACAGGGACCTTCCCCTCCCCCGACGGCGGAAGTACGGCGAACGGGAGCGGGAGCGGGAGCGCCGGCGCTTCTCCCCCGCGCGGTCCTCCGCCTTCGTGTCCTTGTCCCCCTCCGCGGGCACCCCTTCCGCCCGCGCCGCTTCGGCTTGCTTCGCGGCAGCCATAGCCAAAGCCATTGCGAGCCCGGGGTTGACTGCGCCCAGCTTCGCGCTGTTCGCGGCGGCGGCAAGTAACGCGGCCTTCGTTACAGCGGCAGACGCGGCGTTCGAACCGCCGAGGGCCGCGACCTGCGCCGCGAGAATCGGGTTACTCGCCAGCAACGGGTTCTTCGCCGCAGCGGCCGCTGCAATCGCCGCCGCGGCAGAACTCGTGCCGCCGGATCCGGTCGATCCGGTGATCGCGGCGGAGACAGCCGCGGCGCGCTGCTGCGCCGCCGCAAGTTGCGGGTTCGTCGCCGCGAGAAGCGCAGAAACGGCAGATCGGGCCGCAAGGATCTGAGACATAGCGGAAGTAGCAGCTCCAGTCTTAGCATCCGCACCGGCCGCCTTTCCCATTACCATCTCCACCTTGGGTTTCGACTTGCGCGGCGACTCGTCTTCGTAGATCGAGCTAGGTGCCGGCTTAAGCGGATCGCTGTATAAGCTCTGCGGCGGCGGGTAGCGATTGAGCGACGGCTTCGACGAACCATCGCGATCCCGATCCCGATCACGATCGCGGTCGCGATCGCGATCCCGGTCCCGGTCCCTGTCGCGGTCGCGGCCACGTTCGTCCCTGTCTCTCCCTCTCTCCTCCTCCGGCTGCGACTGCTGACGTTGCTTCCACGGCGCTGCCGCGGACGGATCGGGTCGCCCCTCAGGAGGCCGCATGCCACCTGGCATCTGCTGAGCTGGCGGATACTGCCCCTGAGCTGGCGGCTGTCCCTGCGCCTGCCACGGCGGCGGGGCGTATCCCCCCGGCGGCTGTTGCGGCGGGAGATGCGGCGGCGGCTGCTGATGCTGCTGCGGCGGGGGATACCCAGGTGCCGGACCGCCATACGCGGGTGGGTGCGGGCTGTAGCTTGTTGGGGGGGGAGGCGCGGCGGCGTACGGTGCACCGCCAGCGTAAGGCTGGTACTGCGGCGGCGGCGCGTTATAAGGCTGTGGCGGCGGCTCGTTATAAGATGCCGGTGGGGGACCTCCGCCGTAAGGGGGAGGCGGACCCTGGCTGTACGGCGGAACCTGCGGCGGACCCTGGCTGTATGGAGGATAAGAGGGTTGCTGCTGAAACTGCTGCTGCTGCGGCGGCGGTTGCCGCTGCTGCTGCTGTTGCTGCGGAGGTGGATAGTGCTGTGGGGGAGGCGGCTGGTTATATCGCTGATCCATGGGTGGTGGGTTGGCTGACTGGAACGGGATAAACGGAGAAACACAACGAGAAAAAAGGTGAATTGAGAGTAACTATAGCTCCTGACGAATCAACTGGCAACAAGAGGCCTCAATCTACCTTACATTAAAAGGGCGGAATTTACGCAAGCATAATCTAGAGGACATGAAAGCGGAAAAGAAGTATAAGTGAAAATCAAGAAAAATTACGATGCCGTTTCCACCGGGAAACCTAGATAAGCGGGAATCAGAGCCGAGGGACTACTACGGAGGAAAACGCGACAGAAGGATTAACCACCAATAAACACGACCGCCAGCCTAAGATAAGACGCGGAAGGCATTTCTGATACATGATGCACTTTCTTTTTTAGTTTAAAACGAGTGGAAAGACAGCAGAGCAGGCAAGACTTACATTTGGGTCCCAACCGGACGGACCGGGCGGATAGCCACGCCGATCCATGGTGCCTGAGAATGATGCGCTCACCAAATCTCGATCTTCTAACAAAAACCAGTCTAGGGTTTCAACTCAACTGGACCCTGAAACAACTGTGGAAGAGATTTTTGATGAGTACAATGATAAGGACAATGAACAGTTGATGGCGTGGTCTGGGAAGGCAAAGATGGAGTTTGAAATCCTTGTAAGGGGCTGTAACATTAGCGCCAAAACCCCTCTGGCCCGTCGCGGATCAGCGCGAACCAGCTGTCTAATGCAGCGGACCAGCTTTGTTCTCGACTTGAGTTCGCCCCTGGACCTATCTGCACATCACACAAAAATCAACGCAGTTGCGCCAGAAGTGGGCCACGAAGTTGCCGGCAATTCGCGAAACATTCGTGCATGCGTGACAATAGTGTACCCAAATTTCGTTTAATTTTGCTTGATCGGCTTTGATTTCCTTCGCTCGTGGGCACACTCCAAATGGCCCTGAGAACCACGTCAGTACACACTCGGGTCCACTTGTGTAGATGTAAACTGGTCCGCGCCTGTTTGCGCATGTCCATTGACCTGAAAATGAACCTACTACCTTAATCTTCCACGCCCTATGCAGATCTCGCAACTGATGAGCAAAACCGTACGCGATCCTTCGCTTATCAAGTAACGATGAAGTTCGCGGATATCGTTATATGGAATCAAAACCAAGTTCCAACAATTTATTTTTACTTTATGAAAGCATCAACAAGAATAAAGATCTACCTGTATTACTTTTACAGTATCTGAAGGCTCAACAGCACAGGGCACTCGTGGTTGAAAGCCTTTTTTCCCATTGATATTAGGAAAGGAGAAACACAAGCAATGGATGCCGCTTGTGACATTGTTCAACGAGCATCTGTTACTTCTGAAACTAACAATAAAAATTGGCTTTCTGCAACACTAATACTATTTTCCAGCTGCTTGTAGCTGTTGCCCACCAACATTCTGCATTGCCAAGATGGTCACAACCAGCAGCTCTCGCAACCAGAGCTGCTGCCCAGTGCCCATTCACGTCATCGCCATTTCAACTGCTGCCACTGCTCTTGTTTTGACAGTGCTCACATCAACCCAACCAACCAACCAAGCAGCCAAGCACCTCCCATCCCGGACCACTCTACTCCGCCGCACCAATCTTCTTGAGTCAAAAGCTCTGTTCGAGCTCCACGCATGCACACTACTCCGCCGCGCCACTCTTCTTGGTTCGAAAACTCTGCCGGAGCTCACTGAATTTCTTGAAGCACTGCGCCTTGCTCTTGCCTGGCACCGCTGCTGCTATGCGGTCCCACCTGGTATGAAAGGGATCGGGGCGGGGCACACACGGTATGAGGGGCATGTGGGGCACGAGGGGTGGTTCGGTAATGCAACGCTATGTGACGGAAGACGCGTCTAGCGTCTTAGACGGTTGCGTCTAGACGCAGCGTCTAAGACGCTAGACGCGTTTCCGCCTAGGTTAGACGCATATTAGACGAAACCCCGGGCAGGCCAAAAAAAAAGTATGGGCAGCCTAAAAAATATTTTCTAGGCCATGGGGAGGGGGAGGGTGAATGGGATGAAGACGACCTCTTGGTATAGCAGACGAATTAGTCTGCTGGGACATTCATCGAGATCTAGAACTTCTAGATCTATAAACATTAACGCTCACAATCTCATATTTCAAATTGGTTGGGTTTTCTAGATTCAGTGCGGTGAAGATCGGTAATGGGAGGGGGAACTGGTTGGTCACGAAATGGTTCACAAATCTGTTGGCTGCGGGGGACAAATTCCAATTTCGACTTAGCTTTCCGTTTCTCAATTTCTCTCACACCTCCTCCCATGCTTCTTCTAAAACGTCTTTAATTGGCCGGCTCATTGTAGAGCAGAGGCGTGCAGCACTTTAGTCCTAGCTGCTGATACTATTATGGGGGGTGGGGCTAACAGCTAGGTTTGGGGGATGTTATCAAGGTCGAAATGGGTGGGAGGGGTTGAAATTCGCGCGCGCGATTTTTTTTCGGGCTGACCGAAAAAAATTTCCCCATGCGTCTAGCGTCTAAACGTGCGTCTAGCGTGTAGCGTCTAGACGCTGCGTCTAGACGCTAGACGCAAGACGCGTCTTGCGTCTTCCGTCACATAGATGCAACGAGCGTCTATCGAACACTGCGCCTTGCTGTTCCCCAGCACCGCTGCTGCTATGTGGTCCCACCTGGCAAACAGGCATGAGGGGGCACACGGGGTGTGAGGAACACGAGGGGTGTGAGGAACACGAGGGGTGTGAGGAACACGAGGGGTGTGAGGAACACGAGGGGTGTGAGGAACACGAGGGGTGTGAGGAACACGAGGGGTGTGAGGAACACGAGGGGTGTGAGGAACACGAGGGGTGTGAGGAACACGAGGGGTGTGGACAGGCATGAGACGCATGGATGCGGGCATGAGGGGCAGACTAGTAAAGTGTTGGAGAGGGGGAGAGGGAGTGGGGGGCAAGGAGAGGAGGAGGAGGAGGAGGAGGAGGAGGAGGAGGAGGAGGAGGAGGAGGAGGAGGAGGAGGAGGAGGAGGAGGAGGAGGAGGAGGAGGAGGAGGAGGAGGAGGAGGAGGAGGAGGAGGAGGAGGAGGAGGAAACTCAAAACAATGAAAGGGCGAAGGGGGAAGGAGGAGGATGGAAGGGAGAGAAAGGGAGACGAGAATACTGGGAAGAAGAGAGAGGAAAGGGAAGGATATCGAGAGAGAAGCAAGGGAGCGAGCGAGGGAGAGAGACGACAAAGAGGACGAACCAAGCGAGCTCTCACCGTTTCTCCGTATCCTTGGGAAAGGCTTTAAGTGCCTTCACCTGCTCACTCTTTGAGGTGCCTCACTCTTTAAGGCAAGCGAGCTCTCACTCACCGTTTATCAGTGTCCTTGGGGAAGGCTTTGAGTGCCTTCACCAGCGCCACCTCCTGAGCCTCGCCCCACACATCCACTGCCCCTTCTGCCCCAGCACCTGCTGCACCAGATGCACCCGCACTAGCAGCACCTGCCCCAGCAGCCACGCCATTTGCAGCACCTGCTGATTCCCCCTCCTGCGCGTCCTTTGTCCCGGTACTGGCCCCTTTGCCTGCTGCCCCCACTCCATTCGCCACTGGCGCTGCTGCTGCTGCTTTTGCCCCTGCTTGTTTCCCTGCTCCTGCTGCTGGTGTTGCTGCTGGTGCTGCTCCTGATGCTGCTGCTGCTCCTCCTGCTCCTGCTGCTTTAGCTGGTGAATTCGCCGAGGCGGGAACTGCAGGGGTGGCAGCACCAGCAGCAGCAGCACCAGCGGCAGCAGCAGGAGCCGCAGCGGCAGCATCAAGCTCCTCACGTGTGGAGAGAGGCGACGCAATGTCCTTGGGGTTCTTGCGACGCTGCTTGGGGAAGAAGGGGTGGGAGTGGGAGGACTGAGATGATCATTGAAACGTCTAAACAAGGTGCCATCTAAAAGGGATGCGAGTGGTGAGAGGCGCCGCAATGTCCTTCGAGTTCTTGCGCCGTTGTTGGGGGAAGGGGGAGGTGGGTGTGGGAGGAAGGGAGCGAATCGAGTGGACGAGAATGAACACGAGGGTCCAACATTTATACCCCAAACTCTAACCATAAATCCCAATCTCCAAACCTCCAATCTCCAATCCCCAGGCCCCTCAATCTCCAAAATTAAACCCGAAACCCTTACACCTGAACCATTAAACCCCAACACGGATCCACAACCTCCATCCAACCCTTGACCCCTTTACACCTACCCACCAGCAGGAAGCCAGCTAGGTGACCCACCTACCCCTCAACCGCCTTGCTGTCGTCCAGCTAGGTGACCCGCCCCACATCCCTTTGCCTCACCCAACCCGCACCGCAACCCCCCAAACCCCAATCCTTCAAAACGCCCACCCACCTGCAGGAAGCTGTCAAACGCCTTGGTGTCGTCCGGCTTCTGCAGCAGCACCGTCTTGGTGGCCCGCACCACCTCCTCTGCCGACCGCCCCGTGCCTAAATACTCTCCTATCACCTCCCACCGCTGCCACTGTACCTCAATCCCCCAAACCCTAAACCAGCCCACCGCCTTCCTCAGCTTTCTTTCTGCCACACCTACCGCAACCACCAAACCTGGTCCCTAAACCCTTAACCTTAATCCCGAATCCTTAACCCCCACCCCACCCACCTGCAGGAAGCTGTCAAACGCCTTGGTGTCATCCGGCTTCTGCAGCAGCACCGTCTTGGTGGCCCGCACCACCTCCTCTGCCGACCGCCCCGTGCCCAGATACGCCCCTATCACCTCCCACCGCTGCCCCGTGCCCTTGGGAAACTTCCCCACCGCCTTCCTCAGCAGCTCTATCTCTTCCCTCGTCCACGGCTTCCCACTCCCCCCTGCCGCCCTTCTCGCCTCTCTCTCTTTCTCTGCCTCCGCTTCTCGCTCCGCTGCTGCTGCCGCTGCCGCCGCTGCCGCAGCTTCGGAGAGAACCATGGGGATTTGCTGGTACTCAAAGTCCGGACTGTGCCCGTCCCACCGGTTGACTTTCAGAGCTGTGGAGAACAGTCGGAGGGTTTTCCGCTTCACTGCTGCAGCGTCAGCAGAGGCGGTAGAAGCGGACAAGGATTCTAGCTTTTCGCAGAGCACTCGCAGCTTCTCCAACTCCAGACCCTGCCCTAGACTCTCCAACTCCTCTTCTGTTATCGGCGTCTCCCACTCCTCTCCCTTCTGCTTCTCCTGCTGCTGCTGTTTTCTTTGCTTACTGGTTACCGCAGGCGCGGCTTCAAGGCAATCCGTTGTCGCCGCTCTCAGCCTCGCCCGCTCTTTCCTCGCTGCCTTCTTGTCCTTCTCCCTCTGCTTCTTAACCACTGCTGCCTCCTCCGCCGCCCGCTTCTCCTCCTCCTCCTTTCTCTTCCTCTCCTCCTCCACCTTCCTCTTCCCCTCATCCTCCTTCGCCTGCCTCTCCCGCTGCTTCTCCTCCTTCTTCCGCTGCTTTGCCATTTTCTCCTCCTCCTTCCTCCTCAGAATCCGCGGGTCTTGCTTATAAGCATTCTCCGCCAACTGCCTTATCCTCGCACTCTCCTCCTTCTTCGCTTTCTCCCTAAGCTTCGCATTCTGCCGCTCCATCCACCTCCGATGCTCCCGATTCTCCGCACTCTCCACGTCATAATCATCCTCGTTAGGGAACTCCCTCCAGCTCTTAAACGCCCACCAGAAATCATAAAACTTATCCACCTCGGCAACCGGCGTGTTCTCGTCCCCTAAACTAGGAACCTCGGTCGGGCTAATCACCGACCACTTGGCATTCCGCTGGAAAGCCGGGCCGAAAATCTTAAAGAAATTCTCGGGGGAGCAATCACCCGGAATATCATCGTCAAATTCATCTGTAGAGTCGTACACTCGGCGCTTGGCCGGGTCTGATAGGACCTCGTAGGCCAGCTGGATCGCTTTGAACTTGGTCTCGATCTCTTCCTTTTTGGCTGCCCGCGCCTCGTCTGTTTGCTCCTCCAGCAGCATTGCAGCCTGCTTGTCCGGGTGGAAGCGGAGTGCCGCATCTCTGGTGTGGTGGGGAAGGGGTGGGGCGATATGCGGTGCGACGGAATGACGGGAGATCGGTTAGAAGCTCAAACGTGCAGTATGGAAGGTAGAGGGGTTAAGCGAGGTTTGGGGTCAAGGGGTTCCGAGGTTTAAGGTTAGGGGGTTGTGGCGTTCCATGGTCAAGGGCGTTAGGAGGAACAAAAGGATCAGGGAGCATAAAGGAGTGAGGAGAATTATGTAGAACGAGGCGGAACTGGAGGGGGGAAATGGGGGCGAACGAGAACAAAGTCTTCAGGGGGCAAGGGGGCGAGGCTAGTTCGAATAAGGAGTCGACGGAGATGAGGTCAGGGAAAAGACGGCGGAGAAAATTCTCTGGGGTTTTGGAGGAATAAGAGAGCAAGAACGTCTGGTATTTTCCGTTTCTAACAGCTTACTGGATCATCTAACGAGGAAGCGCGGCAGTGTTCGAGACAGATAGAGGTCCCTCAGCGGACAGAGCATGACAGCACGTTAACGGCTGGATTCAGAATCGGTTAATAAGTAACGGCTGGATGAATTTGTGATCGCATCCTCAACCTCATGTGTTTGATCCATGACTCTCACCTCTACGCTCCATCGAACGGGAAACGGCACCCTTACTCCAGGATCTCTCCTTCCCCCTCGCTGTCCCACCAACGCCCAACGAGCCACCCCTTCAAATATCATACATCTCACCTCTCGTAATCTTGAATTTTGCGCTTTGTATAGAACCTCCCGCACGGCAGTTGCTTTAGAGAGATCTTAAAGCCAACCCTGTAGTCTCCTGGGCTGATCCTTTCTCGCCAGAGACCTCAAAACCCCGAACCCTAGCGACGCGGACTGAGTTTTCCCCGTATTACTGCACGCGGCCTCGACCGTACAATACTTGTCACGCATCTGTTGCTCTCACCCAGCTCGCCTCAGCGCTCCCATATAAAGGTTTCTATGACCTCTTTTGAGGCGCCTCAAAAGCCAGCTCGCCTCAATGCTCTCGAATTAAGGTTTATATGACCTCACTCACCGATAGGCCTTCTTGAGCCGATGCGCCGTCGCGAGATGCCGCAGGTGCGCCAGTCCCAGCAGCGCGTACCAAGCCGTTTCATATCTCACTGAACCACTCTCAACGTTTCTCGTTTCCGTAATCGCACTCACCGGTACGCCTTCTTGAGCTGATCCTTCGTCGCGAGATGTCGCAGGCGAGTCAACCCAGCAACGCGAACCAAGCCGTTGTATCTCACTGAACCATTCTGTTCGTTTCGGTGCGGGCACTCACCGGTACGCTGATCTTCGTAAGTTGATCTTCTGTCGCCAGATACCGCAGGTGCGCCAACCAGCAGTGCGTACTGAGACCTTCCGTATCTCTCCACTTTTTCCCTCCAACTTACAGAATCGATCACGACATGCGTCCGTAATCGCACTCACCGGTACGCCTTCTTAAGCTGGTCGTCTGTCGCCAAGAAACACAGGTGCGCCATGCCCAGCAGAGAGTAGTGAACCGTTCCGTATCTCTCCAGATTCTCTCTCCACTCACCGGTACGCCTTCTTAAGCTGGTCTTCTGTAGCCAAGAAACGCAGGTGCGCCATGCCCAGCAGAGCGTAGTGGTCCTGCTCCTGCTTCTCCGCGTCCTTCCCATCCTTCCCCTTCTTCTTCTTCCGCGAACTTTCCCACGCCGACGAATCGACTGAGTCCTTCACCTTCTCGCCCTTCCCCTCGTCCGCCTCCTCCGCATCTTCCTCCCCCGCCGCGTGGAATCCCGCCAATCGCTTCGCAGCTTCGTGGAAGGAGAGCCCTGCCGGCTCGTATCGAGTGTACTTATAAAGAGGCGCTGGGCTGCTCACTACGAGCGGATCGCCGCCGGGCGGCAGGTCGTGTGGGTGGTAGGTGATTAAAAGGCGCGTCGTTGTAACGGAGACCGCAGCGACTGTGGCGCCGCTGGCGCTTGTAGGCGGGGGCATGGTGACGAATCAGATCCGATCAGGATCGAATCGAACCTCGAGGGTCAATCTGCGAAAATCAATTCCTAGGGCCGAATCTGCAAAAAGAAAGAAAGACGATATTGATCTCGATCCGCAAAAGAGCGAATACTCGTGCGCCGCGCCCGCTGACGCGTGCCGGTTCGTGCGGCAAGGCGGTGGCGGATCAAAGGCCACGATTCAAAAATCGGGCTGATCAGCAGCAAGTAGAAAGGAGAAACAAAGCGATGGGAGGTACCAAGTGCGAGTGATAAGAGTTGATCAAGTAAAGTTGGGGCCACGATTTGAGCCACACATCAGTGGGGGCAAGTTTGAAGCTGCTGTGCGCTAATCCCCAGCTGAGGTTTTGGTGGGAGGTTGAGGAAGAGGGTTGAGGGGTTGCGTTTGTGGGTGCGAGGGGCTGAGAGTTTCCTAGCCCTTGGTTTTGCCGAGCCGACGCCTGGTGATTGGCTGTTCGGATTGTCGCTTGTATGAGCTGGAGCAATTTCTGGGCAAAGAATTGGATTTCGGTGACTCGTAGCTTCAGAAATCAAACAGGTGTACTTGTGCAAGTCAGCCCTGGGCCCTACAATCGAGTACAGGTTGTGGCTACCATATTCGCTCGGTTCAGCCGCCAGGGCTACACTTCGCTTTCGCCAAACTACCCAAAAGTTCAAATTTCCAGGCTGCAAGGGGAAGAGCGGGAAGGAGCATCCAGATAATTCTCTGGTGCAGACGGATCTTGGAAACGAAACTAGTCCCTGATCAGCCTTGTTCATTTGGTCCTGATGCCTTGGTCGGGTCGGGACTGACCAGCCATTTAGGGGCTTGCTACTTGTCACGGCGTAGTCCGAGCCGACGACCTAGTCCGACGCGCTAGTGCCGATGCGGTTTTAAATCTAAGGAGAAACAAAAAGGTAAACCTGACGACGACATTTGAGCTTGATGTTTTGGTGTGCTGGTGGTTTCCAGCTACTTGTTCTGAGCTTCGGATTGCCTGGTTTTCCTGGCCGAGCGAGCCGATGATCAATTCGCCTAAGAATCGCACCGCTTTGTCTAACATTCGCGTCCGTTCGCAATCAGGAGCCTCAATATCAGCGTCGCTTTACGCTCGCCTTGCGATCAGTCATAAACAATTTTGGGATCTCAGCGCCAAGTAACTGTCAACAAGAGGGTTAATTCAGAAATTAAACCCAGTCTCAGTCAGACCTAACGCAGCCAGCACGTAACGGTCATCTGTAGCCATGGAGACTCGGATCTTCGGCATTCAGGACGCATGGCGGGAATTTACCGTCCCTCACGCGACGCGAACCACTCCGAGTGCGAGCTCAGCCCCAAGGCCTAGCGTAGCATTGCATCCCGACGCACTGACGTGTCTTGGCGGGGGGTCGGTGCTTCAGACTCGAGGAGAAGATTCCGTTCAACCAAGTCAGCGCTTGCTGACGTGGCAGATCCGATCCGAAATCCGCCAGTCGCATTCCCTTCTTATTTTGAAAGAGCTGTTTCCGAATTCGTCCTTCCCCGCGTCTAAGCCCGCTCCGCTCGTTACAGGAACATCCGCGGCTGCGGTCGCTCGCCAGTTCTCTCAACGGCAGGGATCGCACGAGGTGCATCTACGGTTCCCCTCGCCGCTTCTCCCGCTCGCAGCCTTGGTCGTCGAGCGCAATCCCGAGAGTGCCGACGACGGGGATTTTAGCGAGGATGCCTATAACGAGGATGACGACGATGACGAGGATGGCGATGGGCTCGAATCGGGATTCTCTCGCGTGTCGCTGTATCTGCTGTCCGCAGATGGCGTGATCTACTCCGTAGACCTAGGGTTTGGCGGGCTTGACAGCCATAGTAGCGCATTGAACGATGCCAGCGGCTTAGGGTTTCGCCTAAACGGTGCTTCCAGGTTCGACACCAGGCCTGGCGGCGGTACGGGAACAAAACCCTCCGAATCTTCCCTCCTTGGTAACTTCTCCCTCAGCTGCTTGCGCTCGTTTCAGCTCCCGCCGAACCTCGTCTCTAGGCTCGGTAGCGGTGTGACGTCACTAGCAGCCGGCCAGGACACGGTATGCCTCGGCGGAGGTTCGGGTAGCGTTCTCGCCGTTCCGTTCCACAAACTCGCCAACCCTGTTGTGGCTGTAACGGGTGGCGCTATAAAGAGGGAAGCGTCTGGCGGAGCGGGGGTGGCGGAGTTGCGGGAGGGCGAGGGCGCAATGGCGCGCCTGTGGGGGATGGTAGGCGCAGGCAGGGGCGCGGCTCTCGCCCCTGTGCGGTCCATTCAGCTGCTGACGCATGGCGGGCAGGGATTGGCTGCGGTTGCGCACGCAGATGGCGTGGTGAGGGTGTGGGATGTTTCGAGGAAGGTTCGCGTGGCGACGGTGACGGTGGCGGCGGAGTGGGGGCCGGGCGGAGCTGCGGCTGCTGCGGGCGCGGGTCAGGCAGGGGGGAGCCGTGACGGTGAGTTGCGTTCGAGCTTAGCGCTTTGAACCTCCCTTGCTTGCGCCACGTGCTTGCTCGTATCTTACGCTCTCCACTTCCACTCTCTCGTTCTCGCCTTTCGCCCTCCACTGTACCACCCCTAACCTGCTTATCCCCTCACGACTCCCTCTCCCCCACCACCTCACCCCCCCTCCCCCCCTTTCTCCCCCTTCCGAACTCTCCCCCCACTCTTCTCCCCCTCTCCCTCTCCCCTCACCCTCCCCCTCTCCCCTCACCCTCCCCCTCTCCCCTCACTCTCCCTCTCTCCCCTCTCTCTCCTCTCCCCCTCCCCCTCCCCCTCCCCCTCACACTCCCTCTCCCCCTCCCCCTCCAGGCGCATGGGCCGTCCAGCAGATCCTTCTGCGCCCCGCGCCTGGCCCCACTCGCTCCGCGACCACCACCACGAGCGCAGCTGCTGCCACCCAGTCTCTACTGGTCATTACCACTTGGTGCCCCCAGCAGCAGCAGCAGGGCAGGCAAGAGAGCAGGCAGCAGCACGCGGAGATGTCCCCCTCCCCTGCTGGTCTCATCACCGTTCACTCCCTCCGTCTCCGCGTTCCCCCTGACCCCGCGCGCGCCTCCGCCTCCGCCTCCGCGTCCGCCTCGCTCCGCCTGGCCGCCTGGAGCGCGCTGCCCCGCGCACCCACGGCGCGCAGCTGTGACTATGGCGCGTGGGACGGTGACAGCAGAGGGGAAGGGGACGAGAGGGGTGGGGGTGAGAGGGGGGCGGGGGCGGGCGGGGCACGGCCAGCAGCTGGCACCCAGGGAGAGGATGAGCACGAGCAGCAGGCGGGGGAGCGAGCGGGGGATGAGGGGGAAGGGGAGGGTCAGGGGTTGTGGATCAGAGACGTCCGCGTGCTGCTCGCTGCCGGTGCTGGTGGTGGGGGGCGGAGGGGCAGAGGGGGCGGAGAAGGGGCGGGCGGTGGGAAAGAGGTGGACGTGTGGATGCTGCTGCAGGAAGGGCGTGAAGGCACAGGCACAGGAACAGTCACATCAGGCGCATCAGCGAAGCGCCATACTGTCTGTCTACCTGTGCGCTGTGTGCCCTTCGACAGCAATGCCACTGCCACTGCCGCTGCCACTGCTGCACGGGACGCAACAGCAGCGGTGGCATCTTCTCAGCAGCTTCTGCCCCTTCCTCCGTCCCCACTGTACGCACCAATCAGCGCCTGCCAGCTGGCGGAGCAGCAGCTATCAGCGTCACTGGGCCTCTCAGACCCGACCCTCCACCAGTTCGTCTCCCCTCCGCCTGTACCCGCCTCGTCAGCCAGCGGGCCAGCAGGAGCAACCGCTTCTGCACCTGCTACAGCCGCAACAGCCGTGACAGCCAGTGCGTTTGCTGATATGGGCAGCAGGGCGAACCTGGTGTCGGCCTTGGGCGTCGTTCCCTTCCTTGAGCTCTCCCCTGTCCTCTGTGCCGCACCCAGCAGTTCCCCTGCAGGGGAAGGAGACGGCGGCTCACTGACAGCAGGAGGACCAGGAGGAGGAGCAGGAGCAGGAGCAGGAGCAGAAGGGACAGGAGGGGCAGGTGGTGCAGTGAGTTGGAGCGCTGTAACTGAGTTTTGTGCTGACGCTCTCGTTGCTCGTCTGCTCTGCCCGTCTGCTCTGCTCGAGCCTGCGTTAGCCCATCTGCTCGCTTGGTTACAGCACCACCACCGCCATTACCACCACCCGCACCAGCAACAGGAACAGCAGTTTTTCCCATACGAGGGACAAAGGAATGGGACGTTCGGATCATCCAACCCTGCAGAAGTGGCTCGGATGAGTCACGATGTGGTTCGGCAGACTCTTCTCTCCTACCTCTTGGACCGCCGGCCGGACCTGCAGGTGCTGCCGAGCCTCCTGGGCAGCTCCGGGGGCGAGCCGGCCGATCTGGTTCGGCTGGTGGATCGGTGGGAGCACTTGGCAAAGCAATACCTTCGAGCCTGGACTGCCGTAAACACACCCGTAGGGCTGATTGCAACCGCCGGTTCAGGTCCAGGCTCGGGGGCAGGTTCGGGCGCTGGGGCTATTGGTCTGGTTCGGGGATGCACAGTGTCTCTGGTGCAAGCACCGGACGTATCAATGCAGATAAACCTGTGGAGCACTGCCGTACCTGCAGCAGTGAGCGCACCAGGGTTTGCAGCTGCAGTGTCTGCAGCAACACCCACAGGAACGCCCACAGCAATGCCCGGAATGCCCACGGGAATGCCTATTGCAGGGTCTGCAGGTGCAGGTGCAGCATGTGGGGAGCGAGGCAGCTTGGGAGGCAATCCGCCTCTCCTTTCACCCTGCGTGGTTCGTTCCCTGGCCTCCGTAAGACCAGGTTCAGCCGGGCCAGGTTCGGGCAGGCTGAACGCGGGCAGCCAAGGAACCCGGCAGCCAATGGAGGAGCGCCAGCTGGCGGCGGTGTTGGGAGAGCTTGCCAGCTGTCTGGAGCTGATTCGCGGGCGAGTGGGTAGGCTGGTCATGCTGGCGCTGCCCGCGTGTCTCCTCTCGCCCTCCCTGCAGCCTGCTGATGCCTTTGCACACGTGGCAAAGTTTTTGGAGTTCGG